TTTAAAATATAAAAGATTTTTCATATATACTGTAAAGTCTAAAATTAGGAAAAACTAAGTTAGACAATGTATGATGTACAGTCTGGAGAGGTAGTTGTTCAGTCTACATATATAAGTTAATGCATGTAAATATACAGTCACAAAGTTACATGACTTCAATGTTGTGGTGCATGCTGTTAATGTAATACACATCAAGCATATCAATATAGTTTTCTATCCTAATAAATGTGCTTTAAAACTTTTAAAAACGGGAAGCAAATATTCAGAATATTTGTTTGACATTGATAAAATTAAATATTCAATTCAAACTTCTCAGAAGTGTACCCTACTATTCACAAGTTTTGGTTTTGAAATTATATGGTTAACCACGTCTTAAACGACAAAGATACCAGAAAAATAACTTTTAATTTCGAGGTTGTTTTTTCTTCAGATAATTAAATAGTATAACTGTTTTCAAAACGATTGTGTTAATGTTAGATTTAGAAAATTCGAAAGACTATTTAAATCACATTTGTTTTAACAACATCAGCCAAAAAAAAAACCTGAAAAGTGAAATATACATTTTTCGTTAAAATAAAGAAAATTATCATTATAATTAAATTAATGGGTTACCAATTAATGTAAAATAAAAAGAAATAAATAAAAAGAAACTTTAAAAAGAGATATCACAACAGGGACATAATAAATGTCCCTAATCATGCATCCGTTGCAAATTTTTTTCTCATAAAAATTGTAATGCTGTTATATTTTCAACCTTCGTGATAGTAACACTGCCAAATTTGGTCTGATGATGAGATTCATCCAGGGAGTAGACCATCTGTCTGTATTTTAGGTCATCTGAGTTTGTCTTCTGATCTGGTCTTGACAATATTGGTCTTACTTTAAATGATGTCATAACTATGATAATGTAATGGGAGTAATAACAGTTGAGAAATTACTTGAGGTTTCCAGATCAGTGTAGATCAGTGTTGTTAAATAAGCATATGAATTAAAAGAAGTGAAAGACAAAGAAATGATGCTCAGAAAAGTTTATGAGTTAATTATTGTTGAATATATTTGGGGAAAAGTTTACTGTTACATGCATTAAAGTTTGAGGTGTCGTTGGGCCGAGGTGTATCACATTTCTTGGGCCTCGGTACGTTGAATCCCTTACTGGTTCAGTGCATGCCGCTCTCCTTCCCCACTACATTCTTCGACGTTTAGTGCTCTGGCTAGACAACCCTTTGTCCCATGATGAAATATCTCAGTTAGTTCTTGGATTTATTACATGTATTTGAATGAAACATTTTATTTAAGAACTGAGTTCTTTGTGAGTGTGACTAAAATGGGTAGCGAAACCCGGGTCGGGCCGGGAATTTCAAAACTGAGAGCCGGGTTTTTGATAATTACGAGATAAAAATTCATTATTTCTTCATGAAATTTACAGACATAGTTTATAACTATAGGTTTTGCCTTTGCTGAGAATTTTAAGTCAAAATATTGTGTTTTTCGATGATTATCGCCGATTGTCCTTTTCCAGGTGACTAAAATGGGTAGCGGGCCCGGTTTACTCATATTGGCGATTTTAAGCTTAATGTATCGAAAGTGTTTGTGATATTTGCATTTAATGGTTGTTTATTAACTTCAAATAGTTAAATTGTTCAATCATTATGAAATTAAATGTCAATTATTAGGGTTTTTTGTCATTTTTCATAGACCCGGGACAGGTCAAAACCGGACGCGTTTGCCCGGGACAAATTAATAATTCCGGATTGCCAGAAAAAGAATGTAGATTTTTTTCAGTCCCTGACTGAGATAATCAAAGTAATAGATTGAAAAAAAATTAATAAAAATATGCAAATCAAAAAAAGAGTCATTTATATTTCAATTATATGTCATTCTCTGATAAGTATTTCGGAAATAAAAGGTTTTTCCCGGGTGAACGTGTCGGTTTCGACCAATCCCGGGTGTTCAAAAAATGCGTATATTTTCAATAATCGTGATTTATTACTGCAACAGTTAAATGTTTTAGGTAGTTTAAGTTCAATTTCAAAGATCCAAATGAAATAATTGTAAATATGCTGCCGAAATTAAGTTTAAATCGCCAAAATGAGTATTCCGGGCTCGCTACCCATTTTAGTCACTTGGAAAAGGACAATAGGTGATAATCATTAAAAAACACAACATTTTGACCTAAAACTTTCAGCGAAGGCCAATCCTAGAATAATAAACTATGTCCGTAAATTTCATGAAGAAATAATGAGCATTTATTTCGTGATTATCAAAAACCCGGTTTTCGTTATCGAAAATCCCGGCCCGGCCCGGGTTTCGCTACCCATTTTAGTCACACTCGTCTCTGACACTGACATACAATTTCAGAATTTATCTGATTTGTCATTAAACAATAAAAGGTAGCAATTTTCTCTTCATGGCTCCGCCCTCACTAACGGTCACACCGTCTAACATATTATAAGTACAGCAAAAAGTACAAACAATAACATACATCATACTCTCTTACCGAATAAATTCATTCTGAGGGGCAGCAGTTCTCTGTCGGGAAATGTTTGTTTTCTTTCGGAGCCATTCAAATTTCGCGTCCATACCCACAATGCAACAGCTTATTCACGTGCGGTAACCCTGCTTTGTCTTGATTGATAAAAAGAATCCTTTGATGGTGCATTTATATACCGACACAAGGAAAGTGTGTGTAAGCTTTAAAAAACGCAAAAGAAATAAAAAATAGATAAATAGATTGATTGATTCATAGATAGATAGATGGATAGATGAAATATAGATTCTGATGGAAAGATAAATAAAATAAAGTAAAATAAAATAAAATAAAATAAAATAAAATAAAATAAATAAAATAAAATAATGAATGAATGAAAAAATCAATCAATCAATCAATTACTCGAAAGATAAACATGCTGTTAAAGGAACGCATTCATGTCTACCACAACTTTTAGATCTTCAACATTTGAACAACTTTTGAGCTGTAGAATTATCATGTGCGGATCTAGAGGGGCGTCGGTGGGTCCAAAACACCTTGGAATTTGCAGAGTTATGAAATTTATATAATTATAATCAAAATCAGGTAAAAAGTAACCTTGGACCTTCTCCTGTACGTTTGTGGTCAATCGCGTCATCTCGGGTCTTTCCGTCAGAGGTCGGAAAAACAACCTCGTCGTTTTTTCCGCTAGTAGGAAAGGCCCGAGAAGTTGCGATTGCGTTTGTGGTATAACCATGATAACGGAATTAGCCGAAAATTGTTGAATTAGGGTCAATACACGCATTCCAAACTTCCGCCAGAGTTCGTTTGCTCACTACTCCCCGTCGAGGCCTCATCTACAGAGATGGTTTTGGTCTTTTGTGAGCAAAGGAACTCTGGCGGAAGTGTAGATGAGGCGGTGTAGGGTGGTTTCGCGCCGATTACGTGTTCGCGCCGAGTGGTATCGCGCCGAGTGGTTTCGCCCCGTTTATCTACAGGTTAGATATGGGTGGAATACAGAATGGCTTCCCTGATTACCTGTAAAAGTAGCTTGTAATTAATTAACCCCAAGTGTTAATGTCGTGTTTTGTGGGATAATTATTATAATACATATGGTGAGGCCATTATAATTTTTAGCCAAATTATGACTATTTGAACTGATTTGATCGTCTAATTTGGACCAATTTAGGACGGGATATTGATACATATATATTTATTTCACAAATCGCGTTGATTTTTCAATGAAGGCTGTCATTATTTTTCAGTTGATTTACAATATTAAATTTATTTACAATATTTAAATTATGTTGAACAAGGAAACGTCAAAGGCAACCAATTTTTCATACAGACACATCAGTATTTAGAAAATAGAATAATATTCTTCATTAAAAGCACTCATACAGATAGAAATTCTTAAAAACTTCAAAGTTATTATATAATATACACATTGGGCGAATCCACTCGGCGCGAACAAGTGATCGGTGCGAAACCACTCGGCGCGAACACGTAATTGGAGCGAAACCACCCGCATTCGATGAGGCCTCGACGGGGAGTATGCACGCATTCGTCAATCTTCGGCTGGCTCAGCTACACTCGGAGCTCCCCAAGGATTGCCGATTGACTCGGCGACGAGTGCGAGACAAAAGACAACGAAACCAGCATCCAGGCCTTTTGACTTTGAAAGAAGACATTATTGTGGGAACTAAACCGTACATGTTAACAGTTGATTAAGCAGTTGATTGTGAAAGTAAGGTCATATCACGTATTGTTTGTTAACACGGTAATTCGGTAAACTGAGTCACACGAACAAGGAAGTGTGTACTGTGGATTTCTTTATTCAGCCATTTTTCAAAGATTTTCGGGCAAATCCGACACAAATTCAATCGCTTGATTTAGCTATGTATATGATATACTTATATCTTGATATATTATAATACCCATTTTTAACATATATATTTCCTTCATATTACATATTACTTAATTTTAGTAAACAGTGTGTATGTGTGGGTGCACTGGGTGGTGGGGGGAGCCCTTAAATGAACATATTCAAACAGTAAAAGTAAAGTTGGGAAAAAAAGTGGAGTCCCCCTGCTACATGCCTGCCTTGGCACTGCTTGGTGCAGTGAAAATATTTAACTTTGACCTCGTCTTACCTTACAATGCATGTCAAAATAAACTCACCAAATGTTATCTCCCTGAGAGACTGAGAACATGTTGAACTCAAAGACCATATATAAATCTGTAGAGAGAATAATCTAGCTATATCTCGGGACAAGCCCTCACTACAGTTACAAATTGGAGATCCGCTCCAAAATGATGTTGAAGAATACAAAAGGGGTTGCACTGAAAATAACCAAATTATTCAAAACAAGCATTTTTAAGATTGTTTAAGTCTTTTATCTAAAAAAAAAAAAAATCATATAAAGGTGAAAATCCAATTAATTTTCTCAATGTTTTATCTGGCTTCAAATTTACCTGCCCTTTAAAAAACCACATACATAAAGGTTTATATATATATATTCAAGGTTATAGCTTAATCAAGAGATTGTGCTGGACCTGTAGGGTGTCGATTAATTTGTTGATTTAAGATTTTATATTAATTAAACTTTATTTGCTTATAAGATATAAAACTTTACTCTCCTTAAAGTGGTGCCTACAACAGTATAATGTCTCTGAAATTTATTAATTATTAGATTTGGACCAGTCCCAAAATAGGAGATGTGGTACAAGTGCTTAATCAAGAGGCCCATGGGCTACAACGCTTACCTGAGTAAGTTTGGCTCTGCTGTTCTTCACCTGAATCCCCCTTGTTATACTAATTGTGGCCCCGCCCTGTCCCATTGGCTTGAAGGCTCACCTGAGTATCTTTGATGCTGCTGTTCCCCTTGTTTTACTAATTGTGGCCCCGCCCTGTCCCATTGGCTACAAGGCTCACCTGAGTATCTTTGACTCTGATGTTCCCGTTGTTATACTAACTGTGGCCCCGCCCTGTACCAGGCAATTTACTCCTGTCTGTAAGTCTGAGACTAGTGAGAATTATGTCTGACAGACAAGACCTTCCCCCCCTCCGATATTCAACCCCGGGGCGTATTTGACATTTTTTCACAATTTATATTTAGTACACTTATTCAACATGTTTGCAATAGGAATAAATCGTCAAAACCCCAAAATAATCGCTCTACAAAAAAATACCCCACTATGTACATTATAAAAGAGAAAGGTAAGCAACTTTGGTTTGTTAACATTGTATCCCCACTGGGTTTTCTGGGTTTAAAAACATGTGTTTACAGTGATGTGCCATAAGTGTTCGTCCAAATTCAATTTTCATTACGTTACCTAACTTTTTACACACTTTCGTCGACGCTGCATCTTTCAACCATGGCGTTAATGTTGACTAAATAAATATTTATTTATAGCATATCCACGTGACTGTCACGTGTCACAATTACGTAGCAAAAATTATTTTCGTCTGCTGTGTATTTCCTATGTAAACAAAATGGCTACCGTGCGTAAAGAATTGAGCACTGATGTGAAAGAAGTCATTGGGCCAGTTTCATTTGTCACTGATCGGCGTACGCCGAATTGCGCCGGTCATATGACCGGCGTAAAACGGCTAAGAGGCAAATGAAGTAAACCGGCGAAAACATTTTTAAAAAAATGAATAATTACGCTAAATGATAATCAATTGATTAAGTTTTATCACTTTTTACATTATGTCTTAGGAGAATAAATCGAAATTCAATTAAAAAAAAAACCATGAACTTCATGAAAAATTTTATTTTTCAGAAAATAAAAACATATTTTAAATATATGAATACAGATTTGATCAAAATATGCAAACAAAAAAAGAACGTGTCGATTATGTAAAAATTGTCTGCATTTTCACAGTTGTTTTCTCTTCCCGCCATTTTTCTAAGACCGGCGATTTCCTCGCCGGTCATTTCAGACCGGCGCATTCGGCGTACGCCGGCGAATCTTCCCCGGTCAAATGAAGTAACAAGCCGGGTTACGAAAGGTCAAGCGGCGCATTCGGCGTACGCCGGTATGACAAATGAAATCCTACCCATGTTTCTCTTTACCTGTCTGGATTAAAACATTCAGAAATAGCCAGGAGATTACAAATTCCCCGGTCTACAATAACATCTGTAGTTGACCGCTATCGCAAGCGGGGAAGTGTAGAAAACATTCCGAGGAAAGGGAAGCAGGCAAAGCTGAGTGACAGAGACAGTCGCAGCATTTTAAGGTTGGCGAAAGAAAACAGACAGAAAAATTATCAGACATAACAGCCTTATTCAATGAAAAGTGAGACTCTGCTATATCGAAACGGACAGTTCAACGAAATTTGTACAATCAGGGGTATTTTAGAAGAGTTGTTCGAAAGCGCATCAGAATTCGCGAAGTGAACAGAAAAGCACGGTTGTCCTGGTGTAGAGGAAACAGATACAAAACTATTGATAATTATTGGAACAGGGTAATCTTTAATGATGAGTGCAAAGTGGACGTTGGGACTGATAACCGTGTTTTTATATGGAGAAAGGTGGGCGAAGAGTAGATGCCATGTTGTTTCTCGCAACCTCCAACACCGAAGTTAAGTTTAATGATATGGGGCTGCATCACTTTCAACGGTGTAGGGACTGTGACTGTTGTAGATGGTAACATTAATGCTCGAAAATACATTGATATTATTGAAGATCAACTTTGGCCAATTATAGCACGCCATTTTCCTCGAAATAACTATATATTTCAAGACGACAACGCCCCTATTCACAGAGCCCGAGTAGTTCAAGAATATAAATTACAGAATAATATGCATTCAATGGTTTGGCCCGCTCAAAGTTCTGATTTGAACATTATTGAAAATATCTGGTTGAGACTGAAAAGAGAACTAAAAACGGCAACGAAATATTCGTGTGTAAAAATCAGCTGGAGGCAGCCATTCGACGCATCTGGATAAACATCCCGATTTGTTA